ACATGGTTAAATTCTCAGAACTCTCAGTTCAATCGGAATCGTATAAACGGTTGGTAGGTAAGAGATGATCTCTTACAGAAATAAGACGTTGTTGATGGAGCATATGTAGAGAAATAAACGCTGATACATTAAAACACTTCTTTTAAATCCACTTTTCGACAAGCTTTTTCAATGTTCCACATATATATCTACAAAATAATACCTTCTTCTTTTCTTTCAACTCAAATAAAATTATCCTAAATTTAGGTCGTTTGTTTTAAATATTTTCCTTATTCCCCTGACATTTTCTTAATTTTCAATAGAAACTTTTTTATTGATGTAAGTAGTAGCAATTATGGTAATATATTTGGGAACATTGCTTCCATTGTTAGCAAGATTTTATTAATAAATAATAAAATTGAAATTACAATGCATTGCATTTCCTATTGTTAATTAATCTCCTTTATTCAGAAAAGTCGGGATGACACACATGTTGAATTAATGTGAATTAATCCAGTTAAAGAAAACTGAAATAAAGACGTACATATGTGCTTTATACAAATGCATGCGATTATTCGTGAAAAATATATATTTTTTATTTCTAAATTTCGCTTCTCTAGGCAAACTGCCGATCTGTTAACAGATATTCCTGAAAGAGTCTATCAAGCTTCAGATAAAAATGGTAAAGCTCAAGCTTTGGATATCTTGAAGGCATTTCACACGGTTTGGCATATTGGTCTTTTACACAAGTTAAATGGTTCTGGGATTTCTGGGCGAATCTTTGAACTGATTCAGTCTTTCTTATTGAATCATGAAATGAGAATTGTCTTGAACGGTCACACATTTTACAGTAAGGCAGGTGTTCATCCCCCTCCCAGATCTCTATCCTTGCATCTACGTTGTGCTTAATCAACGAACTTTCTGATGGCATCAATTATTAACTCGGTATCCATGCTGATAAAACAACCATTCATTCTTGTCTTAATTGAAACTATGAGCAGTTCGATAAGGTTAAATCGGAAGATGGCTTGTTAATTTTAACGCTGTCAAAACGAAACTGCTCTCTTTTAATTTGAGAAAACCCGTTTTACCTTCCATCAGCATGGCTGATACTAACCTTGAAAAGCGTAAATCATTTCGCCTTCTCGGACTAACTTTTTCCGCTGACTTGAAGTGGAAAGATTATATTGAATGGGTATGTTAATACGAAAGTTAGTTCCCTGCGCCATGCTAGACAATTTTTCTCACCAGAATATATCTCTATCTATAAAAGGCAGTGTGTGTGTGTGTGTGTGTGTGTGTGTGTGTCTGTGTGTGTGTGTGTGTGTGTGTGTGTGTAAGGAATGCACGGCCGCAATTTTCGACGGATTTGCACCAAAATTTACATACACTTGCTCCAAGTTAGCGGGAAGGCCATGACCGACTTTGCATTTCCTAACTCCCATCGATAGTTGAAATAATCGATTTTTCATGCTTCTACGGCAGTTTTCATGTAGTTTGCGGACATTTTCTACTGGCCAGAGTGAGAGCCTATAGCTGGCTGCCACGAATAGGCAGGAAGATTCTATTGGCCAGCGTGAGAGCCAACAGCTGACTGACACGAATGTTAACGTTGATTCTGATTCCGCAGAACTGGGTTGGGTGAGAAAAAGTTATTGTTGTTAACATTCCTTTTTCATTCGGTTTTTCCATTTACGAGTCTTTTTTTTTAAGCTGATCGTTTTGTGTTCATTTTGTTTAGTTCTTTTTTCAACAGATTTAATGTTTAGTATAGAGCTTAGAAAAAAATCGCAATGTGAGAAAGGCAAGAAGTAAGGCATGTAGCAACATCAGCACGGCAAAGGGTACTCCTTTGAAGGCAAGAAAGGGCAAAAATATTTTAAGTCAAGTGATAGTGATTGCTGTATGAGTCGTACGATTTTTGAATCAAGCACGGGCAACGCCGGGCCATGCTGCTAGTCTTACATATTTTTAAGTCTACGATTTGAATATTGCTTGTATATTCCTGCTAAATCTGGTTTAGTGCTCCTGTTCTATATTTAGAAATTCGGACAAAATACAAAGAAGAATTTGCATCATCTCGGCTTCAGTCCCTTTCTCACTGCCATAACGTAACCTCCCTGTGCCTTTTCTATAAATATTTTAATGATAATTGTTCTAAGGAACTTTGCTCTATGGTACCTAGACTTTAAGAATTTAAGCACCGTACTAGATTGCCAGCAAGATCTTATTATTTTGCAGTTGAAATGGCAAGATGCAACTGTAAGTTCTATGCTTACAGTTTCTTCCATCGCATTTCTCACTTGTGGAACTTTCTTCTTCTTTCTTGCTTTACAGTCAAATTTGATCTCCAAAAATTTAAATGTAATGTCAATCGTTATCTAGTTTTCTTAATTCCTGTTCTTCCCTCACCTTTTATTTTATTTTTCGCATATTCTCTCATACTCAGTAACCCGTTTCGTCTCAGTGTCTTTATTCCCTTGCTTGGGGTGAAATGATAAAAAACGATATATTTTATAGATATTTTGTTATAAAAATTTTAGGAATTTTCTTCTAATTTTCATGAAATTAAATTTGTGTCGTGATGTAATCTTGTAATTCGCTCACGAGTATTTGAAATAAAGTATGACACAGAAAAATATATAATATCTTTTTTAAGTAATCCGATAGAGATTAGTTATATCTTGGTCGTTTCAACTGATGTGCTTTACAGTGTTTATCAGAAGAATATCTCCTGAGTTTAGATATCTAATTGTTTACGAGTTACCTAAACGCCGTAGACTACCAATAAATTTTACACATCCTAATTCCTTAAATGTAATATTAAATATAAATAGAGAAAGGATGTCTTATACACCATCAAATACGTTTTTCGGTAGTATTAACACTTTGCAAAATATTCATATTCTAGAAACAAATCTCCCCCCGTTGATACAACAATGAAATTTTAGGCCCCCTTAAAGTTGATGATGGTGTCAAGATAAGTGAAAAAGATTTGTTGTTAGTTTTTGGACAAGACGTGTTTTGAAAAACCTTTGAGATAAAGATTATATTCATGCATGCTTGAGAATACCAGGTGCTGTGGCTTGGATGTGCGGATGGTGTAATGGATAATGGCTCGGAACTGGAGATGAGAGAGCCGAGTTCTAATTCCAGTTGGGTTCGTTATATTCACTTTAAATCATTATTATCTACAGAAACATTCTGACAATCTAAAAATATTTTCTGGCTTTAAATAAGTTATTCGAACTTGTCTCTTCGATTTTTCATTACGAATCAGTCAGTTATGTGCCATGCGAGATACACGCTTAGGCGATCATGTATCTTTCGATACATGACTGACGAGGCAGATTTTTTTCCCGTAGTAGGTTGCCAATTCTTTCTGCGGTAGACCATGCCATCCAAGGGGGAGAGGGAGAAGAGGGTTCATACCTTTCCCAGGGGTATCAATACTTCCGCTGCTAACTATGGAGATCTTCGTTTTTCTTATTTGCTCCAGCTGGCTAAGTACGGAAACCTACGTTTTTTTTGCATACCGCTGGTATGAGTGTCCCGTTGCGCCATCTATCGTAAAATCACAAAGGACAATGCTTCAAAAGATACCCATTACTGATCTGGTAAGTCATACCCAGGTATATCCATGAAAATGGAAGGCTATAAAACACACTGGTGCCAGTTTTCTGTGTAATAAAATATGGAGGTTGAAATTTGGCATTTTCTTTAAAAATGGCTGGCCGGATGGGGGCAGCACTGGGCAAACGAGTAGCAGTGAAAGTGTTAATACGTAAATGAATGCAATGGATTCTAGTGAAATTCGAACTCGGTTCTCTGATTCCTCAATCCGAGCCGCTATCAATTGCTCCACCGTTCATTAAACCGTCGACATACCCAAGTTTGCACAAACGTACACACCAAAATTATAAAACAAGAGAAAATTTAGTTTTGAAAATATAGATTTTTGTTTATTTTCGCTGTAATCATAGACAAATACTTTTAGATCCAAGGCTATAGAATCTGGTCTTCACCTATGGGGGAGTGAGAATTCATACTTTTCCCAGGGGTATTAGCACGTAAGTGGATGTAATGATTCAATCGGAATTCGAACTCGGCTTTCCTTAATCCAAGTTGCAATCCATTACTCCACTGTGTCTACTAGTAGTACTGGTCCCTACAAAAAGTATTGTCACTATTCGTAACAAGAACTGACATTATAATTTGAAATTCCCACTATATATTGCTTATGTAAATACCAAACAGATCCAAACATTTTACTAACATCAGTTACTTAATATGGTTATTGTATCTGACAGCGTGTAGATTTCTATCTGTGTGTTGATATACTCTCAGTATTCCTTTAAAAATATAATTATTTGCTTATATAACTCAGTCTATTTGCATAAAGAGAAGTTTCTCTTACATCCCCTTTTCTTTCTCAACAGATTCAAAAATCAAAAGAGTTGTCGCCCCTGAATGTTGAATTTTCTCGTGCATATTAAAGTATTTCAATATTTTTTTTCAGAAACTTCTTTTCAATGATTCTGCTTCATTGACGTAAGTTTCCTGTGTAGACTTTTAATAAATAGTGATTTTAATTGGAACATTCCTATTCTTTTTGTAGCATGAACTGATCTAAAGGTGTGACGTTTGCAAAGTAGTTTGAAAATTCTTTTTAAGTATTCCACAATGACGTCAGGCTTAACGGGAAAAAAATTAAACGAATGAAATGAAAAAGACGTTTGTCTTTTCTTTTTTCTTTTTTTCAGAGCACCTTCAATTTCGCAAGTTGACTTTCTTTTCTGGTCTTTATTTTTACTTATCTGAATTGTTTCTTTAAAAATTGGTTCGAATTCAATTATCTCGGCAAAGAAATCACACGTGTGGATTTTAAAGATATCCGGTCACGACGTACAACAACGCCGCCGTCACATTATCTGCCTTCCTCGTGGCTCCCATTCGAAAGTAATGTTGCACACGTGTGAATGAAACTAAATTAACACTTGCCAGCCCCCAGACAAGTTTACATGTTGCACTATCTGTACACCATATATAGAACTATCTCCCTCTTTCTCTTTTCTCTTTCTCTCTCTTTTTTCTCCGTGTGAGTGAATGTGTGTATGCGTGTGTGTGTTTTGCATCTTTTTCTGGACTAAAGCATTTGTTTCTTTTGTAATTTTGTTTGAATTGTTTTTATAATAAATGTGATCTTTGATAGTCTGTCTTTCAGTCGCTTCTTTCGAAATAATTTTTTTTTACTTCAAAAAGAGCAAATATTTTATTCAATAAATTGCCTTTTACATACTTGATTCTAATATCTTCATTCCCTTTTTACTCCTTCTCTCTCTCTCTCTCTCTCTCTCTCTCTTTCTTACCTATTCTACTTTTCATTTGTCTTTCCCTAAATCACACTGACATCTTCCCCTTTTTCGTTATTTCCCATTCCCTCTCTGTCTCCATTACTAGAAGTGCTTTTATTTCATTCTCTTTCTCTCTCTCTCTTTTTTTTTTTTCTCTTTTACATCTTCCGCCTTACTCCTACTCTCTTTTTCATTTTCTCCCCGTTTCTCATTCTATTTCTATCTCTTCCTCTTTCTCCATTCTTTTCTCTTTTCGTTTTTCGCGCTTTCTACATATATATATATGTGTGTGTGTATACATATGCCTTCTTTACCCACATCATTTTTTACAATTATTTTCTCATCTATCTTCATTCAGTCTTTCTTTCTTTCTTTCTTTCTTTTTTCTTTCTTTCTTTCTTTCTTTATTTCTTTCTTTCTTTCTTTCACTCTCTCTCTCTTCACTGTCACCCTTTCCCTCTTCTCGAAATTTCTCACTTTTCTTTTTTATCTAATTCCCTCATCTCTCTTCTTTTTTAAAAAAAAAAAAACTTTCTCTCCACTTCTCTTTTTCCATTTTCACACAAATTTCTCCTTTTCTCTCATTCTTTTTCTTCATCTTTCTCTATTTTCCGCTTTATCCATCTTTCTCTTTTTCCCCTCTTCCCTGTTCTCCTCTTCATTCTTTCTCTATTTCTCTTCTCTTATTCTATATATTACTGTATATCCCTAACATTTTTAATTTATTTCTTCCATCACGCCTCTTTTTTTTATCATGATTTTTCAAAGTTTTTCTTCCTCAATCCCATTTACCCCTTATAATTTTACCTACCTCATATATATATATATATATATATATATATATATATATATATATATATATATATATTTTTTTTATATTTTCTTCTTGTCTGTCTGTCTCGAGCGTTCCTTCCTAATCATCACAATTTCCTTTTTGTTTTTATTTTTCCGTCCTTTTCTTTTCCGTCCTTTTCTTCTCGCCTTTACTTTTTTTCTCTCGCCTTCTCCTCAATTCGTATCTTTCTCCGTTCTATCGCTTTCTATGTTTTTTGTCTCGCCTCTCCTTATCTTTCTGTTTCCTCTCACAAACATGGCACTCTGAATATATCCCCTCCCGTATCTTGCCTAGATAACTCTGTAAATAACTTCTTTTTTTTTCTCTCTCTCTCTCTCTCTCTCTCTCTCCTCTCCATATATATATATATATATGTGTGTGTGTGTGTGTTTGTGTGTGTGTGTGTGTGTGTGTGTGTATGTGTGTGTGAGCATATATATATATATATATATATATATATATATATATCACTTAATCATTCGCTCTTTTAGGCACATTTCTTCTTTGATAAGTTCTTTGCCTTTCCACTCTATTCCTTGTGTAAAAGTATAAAGACAGAATGGTGAAGTGGGAGGTGAGTCAACTTTGAGTCTGTGGTTTGCGGTATTCTCATAAGTCAGCCTTTAACGCATGCGCATTAAGATTGTGGCTTTTGACTTTTATCTCAAGCTAATAAGACATGCTTCGACGCATGCGTACAAGCACTTTGCCGTAAAAGTTTCAAAAGAAAACATTTACAACGTGGTGCGCCGAACACGCAGGTGATAATGTCATCACAGACGAATTTTAAGATAGCAGGCGAAAAAAAAAGTGGGGAGATAGAGAACGTATTCTTGTCTATGCGCTCTCGACGCAGTCCAAGACGTAAATTCTTCAACGTGCCGTAGGTATTGCGACACGAGAAGAGTTAAACAGCGATCAAAAATTTTGGAAAGCGAGGTGGATGCAAGATTTCACTGCTACCTTAAAAAGAAAAGGTTACAGAGTGCTGAATTTAAACTATCGTACACACCGATATATGCAGATATATTAATACACAATTTGGCATATTCAGTTTTATGGCATAGCCAAAGAGAAATATGTCACTGTTAAGAAGAGGTGGGGTCAAGGCGTATATAAAAATGAACACGAAGGAATTCAACCTCTTCTTTCCACAGTTTTCCTAGTCCCTGAAAGGGTTCATCAAAAAATGACAACAAAAGTTTTACCTTGTTCACCCTATTTCTTTCTTGTTTTCTCTTTCGCTCTAAGTAGACTTACTTTTTCGTTTATTTGTGGATGTGCTCGTGTGTATGTATCTGACTATGTTTATGTATCTATTTGTGTCCGAGCAATTAGAGCGTTAACATTCCGATCATGAAACCCGGGTTCGAATCTCATCATTGTCAATCTATTAAGGAGTTGGTTCTTGAGAATGTAGGCTTTGGGAGACGACCCAAGCGTGAAATTCCTGAAATTCATACCCCAGGTTGATCTTTATGAGTGAAATTGGGTAGAATCGAAAGCTGTTGATGTGTGTGCCAGTACGAAGTCACAAATTCTCCTAAATAAGGGTTTGAACTAAATAAGGGTTTGAACTAAATGAGGGGTTGAACGTATTAGCCTTTTCAACTACAGATCAAGACATGATATGTACCCTCTCCCAGAAACTGTAACTCAGGTTTGCTTAGCAAAGATGAAGTATAGACTACAGGATGCCTGTGGACATTGGTGAAAGATAAATTTGCCTGAGTGAATGCAAGCAACAAAGATTAATTAATCACCCTAGCAGTTGGATGTGCTCGGAAACGAGCAGTCAGCCATTATCAATATTATATATATATATATGTGTATGAATGTTAATGCATGTGTGTAGATGAATGCGATGTACTGCTCCAAAGTTCTGGATCAAGATCATATTCTCAGAGATTTGGAATAATATGTGTGTACGTATGCATGTATAAATGCAATTAAATGAGTATATATATATATATATATATATATATATATATGTGTGTGTGTGTGTGTGTGTGTGTGTGTGTGTGTGTGTGTGTGTGTGTGTGTGTAGAGGAATATGAGTAAATAAACGTAGAAATAACGAGATTTTACACACATCTACAAATTTAAACATGTTTTCATTACTGGCATTATTTTTTAAAAAAGAAATTAATTACAAAAATTCTTTGCGAAACAACTTCACACAAAAATATCTTATTTTTCTTTGCAGTACAACTGAATCAAAAGCGTTAGTATAATAAAAAAAATTGAATGTGTTTACATATGAGAATGAATGTGTCACGTATTTACGTAGTTTTATGTATGCGTGTATTTTCAAGTAGCAGCAATTGAAGTCATTGAACAATAGCTGCATTAATACTACTGCTAACATTACTGCTATTATCAATAACACGGTACGTATGCTTTTTTGTATGCTAATCCTTTTTTTGTAATATAGTATACTAGAATAAATATGCGAACATGTGAGTATTTCATTATACTTTGAGACTTTCACTTTGTATAACAAATGAACGACGCTGGTCAAAACTAACTCTGTGTGCTAATACAATTTTCTACCGAGCGGTAACAGTCTCATGCTTGAACGCAATCTTCATGATAAAATATGGTTTATAGTATGTTACAATTATGGCTGAAAGTGCCTAAAGATTTCAACATGTCTTAAGACTATATTTTTATCATATATAATATGTACGGGTGTGTGTGTTTATGCGTGTGCATAAGGTTTGCTTGAAGCTACATATATAGGTGTATGCCTGCATTTATTTCTGTATATATTTAGGTGCTTGTATAGTGTATATGAAATATGTATTTGTATTTTATTGTCATATACTCTTTTCGGGAGAGTACTTTTTTTGTTTTTTAGTTAAAGTCTTATCAAATTAACAATGCACACGTTTTTCAGAAACCTTAAATAATGGGTGGAATATACCAAATATAGAAGATTCCATTAAATGATGCCTTTAAAAAGGCAGATTTAAAATTGTGAAGTACACTGACACGTATTTCAGGCACCCATTGTCAAATATTCTAAATTTTGTTTTACATTGTGTAGATAAACTATCTGACGTAAATGTACTTTGGTAATTTACGGTAATTGACTGAAATATGCATTATTTATTTAAATTAGGTATATAATTTATGTTTTTCTTTATTTTATTAGTCTATTCCCTTCGGATGTTTCCATTTTTGTAACAAGTGAATGTTGAAGTTAAAATTATAGCCGTACCTCCGTAATTCTGGCTTTTTGAGAGTTTTAAGGAAAGAATACAATGTGTTATTCAAATTTTATTATTAGCTCAGAAACACACACACACACACACACATTCTTCTCTTCCTTTATATGTCAATTTCTTTCAGGACGTGTGTGATCTTGCCTCTCCACTAATTTCCCAAAACAATGGTGCTATATCATTTGAATATATTTTGGTAAGTGATCCAAGCCAATAACTTTAGTTTCATATATCGTATATATATATATATATATATATATGTATGTATATATTTTGTAGACATTTTTTTATAAAATATATATTCTTTTATAGACACAAATATTTAGTAATGTTCTGTTTATAATAAATAGTAGTAAATAACATTTACCGGCTTGAATGTCTGAGAAATTTTCATAGAAAATATTTGTCCTCCGACAGGATTCGAACCTCAGACCGGTAAATGTTATTTACTACTGTTTATTATAAACAGAGCATTTACTTAAATATTTGTATCCATAAAAAAGAATGTTAAACATAAAAATCCTCTTTAAACCTGTTATGGTTCACACACACACACATGGATATATATATATATATATATATATATATATATATATATTATGAAATGGACAAAGTCCGACAACTATGTTAAGTCATTTTAATGTTTATCTCTAAAAAAAAAAGAACGTATAAACATAAAAAATTGTCAGACTTTGTAAATTTCATAATGTGTGACGTCATTTATTTACATTTAGATACGCATCGAGCAGATACGAATGTACGTGAGAAAATCATGGAAAATTGTAGTTTAAAAACAGTAAAATCGACCTTGCTAACTGAAACGCTCCTCTGCGGCGAAATCGTAAAAGCACGTCAGGTTATATGACGGTTCCGTATCAGATACAGGTTCAATTCCTGTCGGGGGACGCATATTTTCTATGACAATTTCTCGGACAGTCAGGTCGATAAATGTTGTTAATACTGTTTATTATAAAACAGAGCATTTACTTAAATATTTGTATCCATAAAAAAGAATGTTAAACATAAAAATGTCTTAAAATAATTGTCGGACTTTGTCCATTTCATAATAAGGGAAAATAAGGGAAAATAGAACCTTGCTTGCTGCGTAGATCTCTGTGGTCGAGTGGTAAAGCACGCTGGATCAAACGGTTGTTTCCCATACAAAAGTTGGAGAAGCACAGATTCGAATCATACCAGGAATGCGTTTATCTTTCTTTTTACTAAGAGTTATCCAATGCGTAGACTGATAGACGTACTACGCCCTGTTTAATAAATTAAAATGGAGTGTCTGTTTCAAATACGAAGTGACTTCTATAATAAAGTTACTAATAAAAATGTCGGATTAAAAATAAATCCATTATTACTTTGGTTGTTTTCACGTCTTCGACCAAAACCCTTAATATTATTACGTTTCTTTTTTTTCTTTTTTTTCCTTTTTTTTTTTTTTCATGTTAGCGACATCAGCTTCTTCAAATATTTTCTTGCTGGTCAATTTTTCTTATTTCTCCTTAAACTTTTTTCATTTAATTTTTGTAATATATTTTCAAAGTTATTTTTGTTTTTGTTTTTTGTTTTTGTTTTTTGTTTTTGTTTTTTGTTTTTTTTTTTTTTTTGTTTTTTTTTTTCTTTTTTTGTTTTTTTTTTTGCAGGTTGGTGTCCTATTTTGTTAAAATTTCCACTTTCCATTTTGTTCATCTCCTGATCTTTGTTCAACCTTTTCATAGTTTCCAACGCTGTGATCCCACCACTCAATAACTTTACAATATATTCTTTCTCTCTTTTGAGCTGATATCTTTCTAACGACCCATGGCAATCTTTTTTTATTGCTGCCATATATGGTCTGGAGCCCCTTCTGTTTGCCTCGGGGTTCTTGATAGGCTCCAGAGGCGGATATGCAATATAATTGGCCCTGATCTGGCATCTCGTCTACAGTCACTTTCTCACAGACGTGCCGTCGCCTCTCTCTGTCTGTTCTACAAATACTTTCATAGCAATTGCTCCGAGGAGCTGCATTCGCTGGTTCCCAGACTTCATGAGTTCAAGCGCCCGACGAG